TTGTTATTGTTGTAAAGATAACAGGATGAATCCTTTCCCATGAGAAAGAAAATCCTGACATAAAGGGGCATACAGAAAATAAAATAAAAAGATTTCTAGGCCTTTTTATGAGAGTATATCAAGAATCAATAATGCATCATTCCTGTCACTCTTAGATGCCATATGCAAAATCCCAAAATTAAAAAAAGTCTTGAGATCAGATCACTAATGTCATAAGATTTCACTGTTCTTGCATGAGACATTAAGAGTGAGGTTGCTGACATTTTCTGAGATGGGATGGTGATCACATAAGATTTAAGCCAGAGATAGATGAGAGACAGAAAGAGAGATGGGATATTTGCAGGGAGGAGACCATCTAAACAATTGTTGTTAACTGAAAGATACTGTTGCTGTAGTTCTTAAATAAATATCAGATATTAGACATGTGCATATTATACAGTATTTGCCCAGTGATTGATTGGTCACTATGAGGCAGCAAATAAGCTTAACACTGAAATTATGCCTAGTCTTTGAATGACATGGAGGCCTCAGCATATACTTGAAGTAGAAGAATAATGACAGAAAGCCTATAGCATGCAGATTTCCCAGAACATCATTTCCCTCAAAGGCTACCTCTGTAATCCAACTCTCATGGGAAACACAACATGTAATATGTATGCATGATGCCATGTGGAAGCCTTTCCTTCCTGGTGTGGCAGAGCTAAATGGAGTGGGCTGAAGCAACTGAATCCTTTCTCAGACGATGAAGATATCAAAATGTTTCCAAGGATGTACATTTGGGCCCCATCTCCAAAGAACCTGGATGCTATTGTTTTTAATTTGGGTGCTCTGCAATGCAAGAGACAGAAGAATTTCACATAAAGTCTACAATTTTTCCTAACAAGAGTTCAATAATGTGAAATCCGGTGTTAATGAAAAGGCATGCACTTGGTTCTGGTGGGCTCTGAACAGGTCCTTGATAAATACTTTGTATTATTTACAGAACTCCTCAATATCAGCATTTGAATCAAGGGGAAATTGCTCACAATCAAAAAGCCAATAGTTTTCTATTTATCTAATATGTACCCTAGATGCTATCAAAGAACAGTTCTCTCTTAACTCCTTAAAAGCACTTTCAATCAATTCTTATTTCTACAGAAAGAAGGGAAATGTTATTTTAAATCCAATGAGTCAGCTTCTCCTCCCTTTAGCTGTGCTCCAGCCTACATAAAGAGATATCTGAGGGTTCCTTGTTATGAATGCTGTATCTATAGGAATAATGAGCTGGCTGGGTGAATTATTTTTCACTCTGGGAAAATTTATAGCCCTTCCATCTACAGCACCACTGGAAACTGAACAGGAGATTTTGTACCTTCTCTTTTAAATTATTTCAGGAATTCTAGTGACTTCATTTGTCAAGAGAGGTGCAGGAAGAGGCAGAAAGAGTGTCATTCCCCACTCAGGTTGTTTAGTACCTTCAGACAGGGAAATGCAAAACTTCTTCAGAAGAAAAAAGAAGTGTACCCATACAGTGGTATTCAACATCTGTCTATTTGCTCAGAATTCTTGGTATTATATATTTGATCATGAATCCCTTCCAGCACATTTTGGCATATTCTCTTCATTTAAGAAATGCCACATCTCATGTCATACTGAAAGGTGTGTTTTTAAAGAACCAGTAAGATATTCAAGGATCGGCTTGGATCATTCACAAATCTACATCGAATTCAAATATATTTGGACTAATTCTTTGCTAGTTTAAGGGTGAATCCGGGAATCAGTGACCCTACAGATGTTGCTGCTCTATGTCTCCAAGTAATTCTCATCATTGACCATCCTGACTAAGCCCGGTTGAGCAGTTGCAAAGGGTCACATTCCTTGGTGTAAGAATTTTGGTCTTTATAAATTCTGTGATAAAAATACCTTATCTGTATCTCTTTTGCTATTGGGTGAACTGGAATGTACTATAACATTTTCTAGTGCAATATTAAGCAGTTTAAGGTTTTTAATGCAAATTAATGCAAAGTAGGAGTGATGGGAAATCATCTGAAAGAGACTTGGACCAGAAATAATTACATTTATTCATCCTTAGTTTATTTAGTTTATAGTCCAATTTATTTTATTTT